CTCTCTCTCTCTCTCTCTCTCTCTCTCTCTCTCTCTCTCTCTCTCTCTCTCTCTCTCTCTCTCTCTCGTCTCTCTCTCTCTCTCTCTCTCTCTCTCTCTCTCTCTCTCTCTCTCTCTCTCTCTCTCTCTCTCTCTCTCTCTCTCTCTCTCTCTCTCTCTCTCTCTCTCTCTCTGCATGTCTATCTATCTTCTCACCCTCTCTCGCTCGCTCGTTTGCTCTCGCTTTCCCACCTCTCTGTCGTTCGCTCGCCCTCGCGCTCGCCCTCGTCTCTCGCAGTCTCTCTTTCTCTCCCCTCTCTCATCTTCTCTAATATGATCACCTTATATATACAAGTAGCCGGTCAAGATACTCTACAAGGCACAGCCGAGTTACGAACGAAATGGTTAAAAAATTTCGTTTCTAAATACATTCTGCAAATATCCTAGTCCAACTTAATTAGAGCTTCCTTTCGTTCTCACTATAAACCCCATAATAACCCATATAACCTCTCCCAATAGTCAGCGTACGTTAAATATATAACATATATACACTGTACCTCACAATCTAGTACCTGCAACATATCGCTAATGCTAGAAAACACTAGCAGATTCCTAACATAGATTCATAACATATGTATGCTATAGTTACGTATAATAAAATTTAATAATACCTACATTAAAAATAAGGCGAGCGGTGCACGACGTTGCCTCGAAAACATGTCGATTCTCCGTGTCCTTCCGCGACGTGATTGGCACTAGAAATTTGACATGCACGAATTTAATATCTGGTTTGAACATGAACTTGGAAAACGAAAAGTGGAGATCTAATCAGGGGTGATTGATTCGCATATAGACTATCGGGCAATGTTGCCCAGGCTGACAGGTTAAAGAGATAATAAATAATACTGATTTTGTATAAAGAACCATAACTATATATATTATAAATGTTATATATATATGTATCATATAATAACACCTACGTATATCTCTGTGCACCTCTTTGTATGTTGAACTGGAGACCGGTAACCACTCAATCGTTGCACGACGCTGCATCGAAAACGTAATAATTCTCCGTGTCCTCCAGTCTGGCGATTGACCCTGAAAATAACTTTGATGCGTATACATCAGGATTCCCTATTATCTACTCCTGGTATATATCAATGCATTGTGTTTATTGTGAGCTTAGACAAGTAAAGCGGAGAATGAATCCAGAGAGACTGACTGACATATAGACTTTACCGTTAATTATACCCTATCGCTAAGTATTTAATACTATAATCACGCATCTTTATGCAACTATACCGCATGAAAAGGGTACTTACAATTCAACTCATTCAGGTATGTTAACCTGATTAATCCATTTATATGCTGTATTTAAACGAGTGAACGACATAAATTAAGTATGAAATTATAACAGCTACGGAAGCTTCAGTTGAGCAAGAATTCCTGTATATTTATTTACGCATTTGAAGTTGTCACAACTTTCATCGTTGACGACAAAACACAGTGAGAACATGGCGGGGACGCTTCGGGCCACGTGTATATACTGTGGTGTATACACTCGTACCCAGGGTACGTTCCGGCAGTACCCTAGGGGACATAGACCCTCTCAGCTATACTGACCGTGATATATCTGGCGAGAGAGAAGCCCGTCACGGAGTGACGAAAGTCCTTGAAGTGATTCATTTATACATGCGCGCTTATATGTTGAACCTGGCAGGCTAAAGAGATACACAATAACATACAGTTCAATAAAAAATTAGGTTAGATTTAAGTTTTTAAACCCAATCTTTGCGTCCGTGCTTCTCTCGCTCTCCCTCTCTCTCTCTCCCTCTCTCTCCTCCTTACCTTCTTCTCTCTGCTATCTACCTCCCTCCCTCCCTCTGCATTTTCTCGCCTCGCTGCCTTGCTCTTTCTCCTCTCCAACTTCCTCTCTCTCCTCTCTGCCGTCCCCCTTTCTCTCTTCTGTGCCTTCCTCTTTATCCTCTCTGCCTTCCCCTCTCTTCTCTGCCTTCCTCTCTCTCTCGCTGCCGTCCTCTCTTCTCTCTGTCTCCCTCCCCTCTCGCTTCCTTCTCTCTCTCTCACTCCTTTCCTTTTCCCTGCTCTTATCCTTCGCCTTTCTGTGTGCGCATGTTTATTCTTAGGTGTGCATTCTTATATTTGTCTGTTGTTTGTATATATTTATATTTATATTACATCTTTTTATCACTCTTTCACGCGCACTCTCTCGCTCTCTCTCTCTCTCTCTCTCTCTCTCTCTCTCGCATGCGCTCGCCTTCTCACACTTAGTAATAGGTT